TTTACAAGAGTTGTCTAATCACAGTGATTCTAAGCCACTTAAAAGTTACCTGTTCTTAAATTTTATTTTGCAAAATTCTTTGCCTTAACTTACTGTATACCATTTTTATTATGAGGTTTCAAATTGAGTTTACTTTGATGGCTTTTTAAAAATTATGCTAATACAAGTATAATTAAGGCCATTCCAGGAGGCTGCAGTACTATGATTTGTTTTGATTCCATGATTCCAGTTCTCAGCTCTGCTTACTCAAATAAACTTGGAGAATCTGAAGTTCTTTCTCCCTTTTTTGGGAAAGAGACTCTTTTTAAAATGACTCTTTTGAGGTATCTTTGGCATATGGAAATTGTATATATTTAAGGTTTACAATTCAATGTCTGTGTATGTATGTATGTGTATATATATATATATATCAGTTCAGTTCAGTTCAGTTAGGTTCGGTCACTCAGTCATGTCCAACTCTTTGCAGCCCCATGAACCGCAGCATGCCAGGCCTCCATGTCTATCACCAACTTCTGGAGTCCACCCAAACCCGTGTCCATTGAGTCGGCGATGCCATGCAACCATCTCAACCTCTGTCTTCCCCTTCTCCTCCTGCCCTCAATCTTTCCGAGCATCAGGATCTTTTCAAATGAGTCAGCTCTTCGCATCAGGTGGCATCAGTCCTTCCAATGAACACCCAGGACTGATCTCCTTTAGGATGAACTGGTTGGTTCTCCTTGCAGTCCAAGGGACTCTCAAGAGTCTTCTCCAACACCACATATATATTTATATATGGTCCTATAATCAAGCTAAATACTATTCATCACATGTACATAGTTACCCTTGTGTGTGTGTTGAGAGTTGATTGAAGATATTTCTTTTTAGAACATTTGAAGTATATGATACAGTATTTTTAATTATCATCACCAGGCTGTACTTTAGATCTCCAGAACTTATTCATCCCAATCACTGAACGTTCATACTCTTTGACCAACATCTTTCCATTTCCCTCATCCCTCAGCTTTTTCTCTGGTTTTACAGGATTTCCCTGGTGCCTCAGACGGTAAAGCATCTGCCTACAATGCAGGAGACCCGGGTTTGATCCCTGGGTCAGGAAGATCCTCTGGAGAAGGAAATGGCTGCCTACTCCAGTACTCTTGCCTGGAAAATTCCATGGATGGAGGAGATTGGTTGGCTACAGTCCATGGAGTCGCAAAGAGTCGACATGACTGAGTGACTTCCATTTCACTTTACAGGTTTAACTTTTAAAACTTCCACATACATATAAGTGGAAGCATGCAATATTTATCTTTCAGTGTCTGGTTTATTTGACTTAATATAATGTCCACCAGTTTCAACCATGTTGTTGCAAATATTAGGCTTTCCTTTGAAGAGATTATTTCCAGGCACAAAAGCAGGATAACAATGTTGCTATTTTCTGGGATCAGAAGAGCTGGATCTCAGACTCATTTAATATAAGAATTGCAAGAGATTTTAGAAATCATCTAATTCATGCCTTGTCTTTTAAGAACAAGAAAATTAAGATTCAGGGTGGTGAGGTAATTCATCGAAGGTCACACAAATGCTTAGTGATGGAACTAGAAGTGAAATTCAGGATTCCTGTTACTGAACCCAAATTCAAATTAAATTGACTTAGAAGATACTTAGCTCTTCAGAGGTGCCTTGTCTAAGTGTTCAGTAAAAAATCCATAATCCTTGAGAATACATTGCTGTTTATTACTGAAGGTAATACTCACTCTTGCCTATATCATCTTCTGAATTACTGCTAACTGGTTATGAAATTCATTTTGACTTCAGTACTCAGTATTGCCCGTAATTATTTTCTACCACATTTTAGAAGTATATTGATTAAAAGAGATGATTCCATCAAACCAAATGATTTTTCTAAAATACTTTGAAATGTCAACAAGATCTTCCTAATACCAGAATTGACATTATTTATTAAGTACCTGTCTATATGTGACACAGTTTGGTCATTGTATAGACTAAGACAAACATATTCTGATTTTTCCACTCCTGTGAAATGATTGTTGAAGGGAATGGAGTTGATGGAATGGCATCCAGTAGCTTAGTTTAGTAAATAATGTATTAAGAAACATGTTATGTAGGGGTTACCTTGCAAATTGGTCAACAAAGAAAGATTGAGTCCAAAACCTTTTGAATTTAAAAAAAATAAGGAATTTTTTACCCATAATTTGAAAATTGAATAAAAGGAAGCACTGTTGGTAAACAAATTTTATTTTGGCAAATAATAAAAAAAAGTTTAAAGGACACTTCATCTACCATTGCCATTGTGTGTAAGAAACAGGATAATTACTATTTTAAAAATGCAAGTATATAATTCCAGAATAAAGGAGACGCCTTCCCGAGAAAAGGTAGTTTCACCTGGCATCTTTGTTAATAGAGCTGTATAGGTGTGTGCACGTGTGTGTACTTGCACACACCTTATATTTCTCATTTTGCTACAGATAGTTCAAACTCTGTAAGACCAGTGGTCCAAGGACTAGTACTTACAAACAATTAGCATTTGTTATGTAGAATCTGTAGGTATTTACTTTCTGCCTGGAAAGTAAATCCTAGGGAAGGATTAAAGGAAAAGGAAAAAAGTCAGGAATGTTAAAGAAAAATAAGATGCCACAGGTGAGAGTCAAATATAGGTGTAATATGGAAGAAGTCTTAGAAATGTAATTATCCAATGAAGAAAGCATTTGGTAACTACATGAGAGGAAAACATAAAGCCTACATAGGGAATGAGATGGAGAAGAAGAGATTGAAGACTTCGTGTCATCCAATTAATTTAAATTGAGGAAGCGTATTACTTTTTTCTAAGTTTTTAATCATGGTCAGAGTAATAATGAAGAGCACTGATTCCAGAAGAGAAGGGAAAAGCATTGATAAAATGGATGTTCTGAATAAATACTTAGATTTTTTTTTCCTTTTGAAAGTTCTCTGCTTGAAATAAATACATACCTGTCAAGTTTCAAGGTAAATGTACTAACTCTCTTTTATAGGAGTTTATGCTTTTAAGACATGTGTTTGCTGCAAATAAAATGTTATTTAAAAATCCAATATAGAAAATAGTGAACAGTTGTTACAAACTATTCCTGAACACCTTGCCTGGGGACAGCAAGGCCAGGCTATGCCAGGAGCAGAGTGATTCCCTTTAAGACAGATAAATCATTTCCAAATAATTGGAAGATGCTAGCAGTACCAGGTCTAAAGAGTTGTTATGTGAATTAAGTGAGTTAATATATCAAAGTTCCTAGAGTGATACCTGACACAGTAAGTGTTTTCCAAAGGAGAGAGAGTATTCCTCAGAGACTGACAATCCAAGCATCTGTTTACGTCTGTTTTTATCTTAACCTTTTAAATTTCCTACTTTGTGTATATTTTCTAATTTACATAATATTTATGAATTATGTTGTATGTTTATATATTTCATAAATATTACATATACATGTATTACAGGCATATAAATTCAATAGTCATAAATATTGGCAGGCTATTGATATGGTAGTTTCCTGATTCTATTTCAAAATCTAATTTTAATTTGTTATCCTTGGAAAGAATTTTTATGCATAGCAAATTTTATTTTGTATTGTGGCTATGACCAAATTCATCAGAGTAGAAATATACTGCTTTTAAGACAAAACTAATAACACCATTAAATTTACTCAGACTTATTCTTTTTCTTTCATTAAATAATTTCTTCAGAATGTCCCCAGTAGGGCATAATTCTTTAATTTTATGAACATTCAAATAATTTATATTGATGCATTTCTTGAAACAAGAATCCACTCTAGACGTCATGTCTATTTAGAAAGACCTCATTTGGGTATTTGTAAACTACTGTTAACTTCTTTCTACTCTCCTTTTATTTAGGTTTTCTTCCCTGCATTGATATATTAATTTCCCAAATTATCTCCTGAAAATCTAAGGACAGGAGTATAAAAGAAGCATTAGCTATGTGAATGTTTTCCTTTTCAAGTTAGATATTTTAAAACTTTTTCAAAACATGTCCCTCTATGCCCCAAACCATTTTGTTACAACTGAAGAACAAACCTGTGGCATCCAATTTAGACTGAAAATTAGCAGGAAGCTTTTTGAAAGCACTACTGTGGCTACAGAACAAATATATGAACTAATTATTACCTTCAGAAAGTTCTAGAGAGGTTTGCTTTCACAGGATGTCATTATATAAATGATCTTTGGAGGGCCTCAGAGCTCATGATAAAACTACCAAATTGCTTATTAGGAGGCAAACAACAGCTCTGCTGAGATTAAGTGTAACAGGCTTTGAAAAGCACATCCATGGTGTGGTCCACCTACACAAATTCAGCTCCTACAGGAACACAGAAAACACTTTGGAATTCATTAGCATGCAATATTTACTCAAAAGCTGCAAAAACATTGTGTTTGCATAATTTTATCAATTGTCAATAACAGTGCTTGCCAACATTCATATCTTTATTGAAATGAAAATTAAGAGCAGGAAGAAAGTTTCTATCAATATTAATACTGAACTCACTTGAAAAGATGACATTTATTAATAATGCATCTGGCTTAACATTCACAGTGGTATTTAAAGGCTAAACACAGTCCTGGTGCAGGAAACATTTTTTTTTTTAGCAAACCTTGTTCATCAGCCACCTTATAGCTTTGAAATACAGAAATAATTTTTTCCATTCCACAAATGGCTACTTCCCTAAAATTCTTTTGAAATTTGGGATGGGCTGGATGTAGTCAGAGCAAGAGCAGTAATAAGACAAAGATTACAATGCATTAAACATTTTATGGAGAATTGTGTTGGTGCACAGTGTATTGGTATTAAAAACTCTATATTTGGGGAACAGCTGGTGTGGGCTGAACGAGGAAACAACTGTTATAAAACAAATGTTAAAGAATTGCTGTAAACAAGACTCCATCTATTTACAGTATGTTTCAATTCTTTTTCTTTTCTCTCTCTCTCTCTCACTCCTGTCTATATTCATTTCCATCAGTAGACCAGAATGGTGAAAGATTCCAATGTGTAGGTAAGTGTGTGTGTGTGTGTGTGTGTGTGTGTGTGTGTGCACGCATGCACGTGTATGTTGTGTATCTGCATGTGTGATGGGAATGTTATATGTGCACATACACACACACACATCTCTACACGCATAAATACATAATATAAAATATATCAATATCTACTCTGCTTTCCTAAGATGACCTTTTGTGTTCAAAAAGTAAAAATGTAAAAATGGAATAGTGTCAATATTATGCCAGGATGTAAATTGTTGTTAAAAACTACAAATCTTACTCAGTGTATTACCCATTTTCTTCATGACAAACCATCCCTTTGTTTAGGAATTTCAACTTTCAGTGAACAATTATATTGCTCAAAACCAGTTGCCTCTCTCTTCAGAGTTGATTTACATGAGTGTCTAGCAACATTAAGAACCTAACACCTTCCTTTCCTATTTTCAGTCTGCTTCCAACCTACTTCTGCTTAGCTGTTCAATATATAAGGAACTCATGTATCAGTGTTTTTTTTTTTTCATTTTAATGTTATTGCCTTGCATGCTTTCCTAAATAATTATGATTGTAAGTTTAATTAAAAGAAAATGAAGGAATTCTAAATAAAATAATCTAACGGGGGACTTCCCTGGCAGTCCCTGGTTGAGACTCTGCACTTTCAATGCAGGGGGAATGAATTTGATCCCTGGGTAGGGAAGATCCCCTGGAGAAGGGCAGGGCAACCCACTCCAGTATTCTTGCCTGGAGAATCCCAAGGACAGAGGAGCCTGGCAGGCTGTGGTCCATAGGGTCGCAAAGAATCAGACACAACTGAAGCAACTTAGTACACATGCACAGGGAACTAAGATCCCACATTCCATGTGGAGCGGCCAAAGAAAAAAAAAAGAAAATTAATGGAAAGATTCTTATGAAATCATTCCCTAGCATATGAATCCTGGAGGGTAGAAGGATGCTCTAAATATCATTCGTGTTTTTCTTTCATTGCAGGTTTCTCGAAACACCTCTATTTTCTAGAAGACACCGGTATTCTAGAAGACACTGGTATCACAGTGACTTTATTCTTATACAGTAAGTATGCTTCTTTTTTTAAAATTTCACCTCACTCCAATATGTTGGGAATCCTCACTAGATCATGCAATGATTCTGGTCAAAATCCTGTAATGATTGTCTGGTTCTAGACCATAGTAACTCCTTTGTTTTTAGTTAAAAAATGCTATTAAGGAGAGAGTAGTTTTCTCAGAGAAGTGGTCTTGTTCTAGTTCTCTTTTAACCTTTCATTGCTTTGTTGTATAGTTTTAAGACAAATCATGTGTATTCTGCTTCTTATGAAATGAGAATTACTGATATTTAGGAACTGAAGAGTTTTCCTCCACAGTTGTGGGTCATTATTTATCATCTTTCACTATGTGTGTTATAAAGTGTGATGAATCCTGATTGTTTTATTTTTAATTCTTAGGACTAAAAGTACTGTATAGAATATGATGATTACTTTTATTATTGCAAGAAATTTGTCTGTTAAACTATCCCATTGATCTTGATTAGAGTGATCCATTTATTATCTCTTTTTTGTTTAAACAAAAAATATCAAGTGCCTATTATTTGGAAAGTTGCACACAATTGAATCCTCTTTGTCATAGAGCTTACAATTTAATAGAGCACCAGAAAAATCCCTCCAGAGTATTAAAAATTACATGTATTTAATGAAAGAAAAGGAACTAACATTTATTGTGCTAGGCTATTCAAGAGTCTGACACCACTGAGTGACTAAGCACAGCACAGCACTCACATAATAACCTCATTTAATCTATCTTGGTTTCCTGGTAAGGACACAAATGTTCCAAAAGAATAAACAGCTGAAAGTCTCAAGGCCCAGTAGTGAGGATAGGGGAAGTCAGTGTCATTCCAGAAGCCACATGACTTTCATCACAGTGAAAGTATATTTGGAATTCCAAAAAACAGGGATTTGGAATGGTGTCAAAGGAGTCAGTAGGAAGGGAATAGATCAGAAAGAACTTTAGAGGGAGCATTCTTGGGAAAATCCTGTTTCATATAAATATATATTTGCAGATGGTAATAATTTTTAGCTGCTTACCTATATTCTCAGCTTGCTTTTCAATTAAACTAATCTAAAAACTTGAAAACAGATTAGAATGGAATTTTTTATTCTAAGTTAAATTATTAAAATTAACTATTGACTTTCCTGTTCTGAATATAAACCTATGACTGGAAGATTTCAGAACTCACAATTAATGCCAAGCTACCTGTATTACAATATAATATGTTGTGGATTTGCTTACTATTGCTCAGCTGACTGTTACTCTGTGGCAAGATGATGTGGTGAGCTGATGCCCCTGAACCTTTTGGAGCCCTGACTGAAAGAACTCACGTGGGTGCTCTGGAGGGATAGAGTGGCTCCAGAGCTCTGACATAGACTATACATAACAGGAATGTAGAGAAAAGGGGACTCTAGTGCACTGTTGGTGGGAATGTAAATTGATGCAGCCAGTGTGGAAAACAATATGGTAATGGTGGTGGTTGTTTAGTCGCTAAGTTGTATCTGACTCTTTTGCAACTCCGTAGACTATAGCCCTCCAGGCTCCTCTGTCCATGGGATTTCCCAGGCAAGAATACAAGATTGGATTGCCATTTTCTTTTGCAAGAGATCTTTCTGACTCAGGGATCAAACTTAGGCTTCCTGCATCTCCTGCATTAGCCGGCAGATTCTTTATTACTGGGCCACCAGGGAAGCCCCAGAACAACATGGAATTTCCTCAAAAAAGTAGAAACAGAACTACTGTATGATCTAGCAATTCCACTTTTGGATATTTACCTGAAGAGAATGAAAACACTAAATCAAAGAGATATATGTACCACTGTTTATTGTAGTACTGTTTACATTAGCAACCTAAATGTCTATTTATAGATGAATGAATAAAAAGCTTGATGCCCACACACACAATGAAGTATTACTCAGTGGCAAAAAGAACGAATTCTTTCCATTTGCAACAACATGGATGGACCTAGAGGGTGTTATGCTAAGTGAAATAGACAGAGAAAAACAAATATCATATGATTCCATTCATGTGTGAATCTAAAAACCAAAACAATGAATAAATAAAGCAAAATGAAAACAGATTCACAGATACAGGGAACAAATGGGCAGTTGCTGGGATGAGGATGCATGAAATATGTGAAGGGAGTTAAGAAGTATAAACTCCCAACTATGAAATAAATAAGTCACAGGGATATAATGTATATATGGGGAACATAGTCAATAATATTGTAACAACATTGTATGGTGACAGATGTTAACTGGACTTGCAGTGATCATTTTGTAATGTACAAAAACATCAAATCACTATATTATACATCTGAAACTAATATAATATATGTCAAATATAGCTTAATCAAAAAAAATTAAAGCCATTTGGTTAAAATTTTAAAAAAAAGAACTGAAGACCTCAGAACAGCTCTCATTCTCTGCTTTAATGACTCCCAACAGTCACCATGGAAGGAGATGCTCAGAGGAATGTAAGGGAAAAGTTGTTTTAATGGAGGAGAGCATCCAGAAAGCCAGCTGCCATGCATAATGTCTTTATGACCAGTGTGCACTCACCTGAAAATCTTACAGGAATCAACAAAGATTAATCGGAATTGAGAATAAAGAAAACAGTCAGAGCTACAATTCTCCCAAATGACATTTTCAATACTCAGGTATACACAGAGTTGGGGAAAAAGAGCTTTATTTTAAAGTCTCCATAAAAATGAGGGAGGAACCCAAACAAATGGGTTTGATAATTGTCAGTGCATTAAAATTTGATATAGAATTCTTAGGTATATGTGTATTTTTAACGATCAATTCAAAAATAATTTTAAAATGCATTTTTAGGAAACAAATTTTGAACAGCTCATGAGTACTACCATAGAACTCTATAATCTTCTACGGGATGGAATTTGAATCAGAGTACTGATTTAAAGCACAATTTTCCTCCTGGAAATTCTCTAAAACTGCTGAATATAGAGGTAAGCACTACATTTTACTCTAAGCAAACAGGGGTCATTCATGCCTGTCCAACTGCTTTTTCTAAATCTACAGAGGATAGCCTATTGCTTTTGTTGACATTAGTAATAGCCCACTTGGAAAGAAACTGTGGAGAGAAATGTTAGATATTTCTTTCTAAAAACTGGAAGGGGGGAAACTTGCAAGAGGAGACTGTATGTGAGTAAAGAAAGTACTCTTGGATGATTTAAAATAAAAGCAGCATAAATTTTTTTCCCTTTCTGAACTCGACCTCTCCAAAGCTGTTTTGGCTATAGTAGAAAGGATTATAATAAAAATGTAATATAATAAATTGCAGTACCTCCAACTATATCTGTGATAATTGAGTTATTGTGTTCAATTAGATAATAGCTCAGTCACACACATCTACAGCTCCACAAATTCCACTTCATTTTACTATATGAAAAGAATAATCATTTTAATAGATCAACTTGAATAAGAAATTAACTAGAAGAATATGTCCACTTTCAGATGAGATGCACCATTGTACATTTTGACATGCTTATTTAACAACTTGTCCTTACTACAGTAAGTAAAAATTTGTGACTTTGTTCAGTTTAGCTTCTAAAAGAAAGATGTAAACCATACACCTCCCCCCACACACAAATCTATCTATAAAGGAAATACAATAAATACAATAAGTTGCTCACATAATAACTGAGTTTAAACTTAGCTCTATCATTTATATCATCTACATCTCTGCACTCCAGTTCATCTTTACATCTTTACCTATGATCTGTATGCTGAAAATTTATGTTCAGATCGATGATTCAAAGATAGTTCAATGAATTAACCATCTCAGACAGATTCAGGTAGGTTCACTTGTGATGTTCTTACTAAACAATTCTAGAATACCTGTCTATCTATTCATATGTATAATTGTGTAACAATTTTTTTTCTTATTTTATTTACTGTATATGTTATTCTCTATCAGTGGAGCAGAGTTTGGCAGACTTAATGTCAAGGTTCAGATACTTTATATGTTAGGATTTGTGATCGTACTGTCTCGGTCATAGCTACTTAATTCTACATTTGAGCTCAGAAGCATCTGTAGCCAGTGATTAAATGTATGTGTCAGCTGTGATCCAGTTAAATTTTATGAAAATAGGAATGAGAAATATTTGGTCTTTCATCCTTCTCTGTATGTATAATTCAAGTTCATCTTCTATAGACTGTATATATAATCAAATCATGTTGAGGGATATTCAGTTCAGTTCAGTTCAATCGCTCAGTTGTGTCTGACTCTTTGCGACCCCATGGACTGCAGCACACCAGGCCTCCCTGTCCATCACCAACTCCCAGAGTTTACTCAAACTCATGTCCATTGAGTTGGTGATGCCATCCAGCCATCTCATCCTCTGTCGTCCCCTTCTCCTCTCTTTTTCAATCTTTCCCAGCATCAGGGTCTTTTCCAATGACTCAGTTCTTTGAATCAGGTGGCCGAAGTATTGGAGTTTCAGCTTCAACATCAGTCCTTCCAATGAACATTCAGGACTGATTTCCTTTAGGATGGACTGGTTGGATCTCCTTGTAGTCCAAGGGATTCTCCGAGTCTTCTCCAACATCACAGTTCAAAAGCATCAATTCTTTGGAGCTCAGCTTTCTTGAGGGATATTTAGCTTTCTAATTTTTATTTTTATAAACTGCTGTAATAAATACTCTTGTGTATGTATCTTTTAACTTGTTGATTGCTTCTTTAGTGATTCCTAGAATTGGAATTGTTGTGTCGTAGAGGATACAGATTTAAATATTTCAATTATTACAAAATTGTCCACTGGAAGAGCCAGACTTATACTCATGTGTACTGTATATGAGTGCTTGCTTTCCCATCTCCTCCCTGAAACCAGATCTTATTTATTGTTTAAATTCTTTCTCAGATTGGTTGGTAAAACATTGATTCCCCTCAGTTCTTTAGGTTTTCCTGTCCTTTTGACTTTAATAGTGAGAGCATCTTTTCAGTTTTTAATTGGTCATTTAATTATGCTTCTGTGAGTGGTCTATGTAATTTGCTTATATCTATACTGACTTGTCCTTTTTTCTTATTAATTGGTAAGAACTCTTTAAATGTAAAGAGATTAACATTTTGATCCTTACATGTCTTACAAAAAGAATTCACCAATTTGTTATTCTTAAATTTATATATTTTTCCATGTAGTAGCTTTTACTTTTTAATAGTATTTTAATGCAGAGCTTTTCTTTTATTGCTTCTGAATTTGGAGTCATGTTCACAAAGGCATTTACCAATCCAAGGTGTGAAGTTATTTTCTTGTATTATTTGTAGTACAGCATTTTCCTTTTTGAATCTATATTTTAAAATAGTGCTTTTTTATTTTAACATTATTAGCATAAATTTGGGCTCCCCTGGTGGCTCAGACAGTAAAGAATCCACCTGCAATGCAGGAGACTTGGGTTTGCCCCCTGGGTTGGGAAGATTCCCTGGAGTAGGGCATGGCAACCCATTCTAGAATTCTTGCCTGGAGAATCTCCATGGACTGTAGCTCACCAGGCTCCTCTGTTTCTTATCATTTTAAATCTCTCTTCCATAAAAAAGTGTGATTATATCTCTTTTCTTAAAGTTATGCACTTGTTTTTTCCTCTTTTATTCTTTATCCATTTCCTCACATTTGTGCATATTATATGTTACTTTTCTTTTCAAGACACAAGCTCGTAACTCTTTTGATTAATGCTTCTTCATTTCTGCTTTGTAACTTATTTGCTGCCTCTTGTTTCCTGAATTTATGCCTCTACTTTATGTTTATTTTCTTGCACTTTTTTTCCATTTTGAACTGAAAACTTTATTAAATTATATTCAACAGTTCTTTCCTTATAGTAAAGGAAATATTTAAGGCTATAGATCACATCTCATTGCTTCACATATATAAGGATATCATTAGATTTGATTTATAAATAACCTGGAATGATTAAGCTCCCACACATTGCAGTTTCACAGTTGATTTATCTTAGGTCTTACCACTAAGAGGTCATAGATCTTTATCTTGATTCAGATAATTTGAATGGTTGTTTCACAGATGCATACACTTGTCAAAACTTTTCAACCTATATTTTTGAGAGGTGTGTATTTTATCATGTGTGTTTTGCCTTGTATAAAATATACTTCAATAGAATTACTACCACAAAACAAAAATAAAATAAATGTGAGAATGTGTAGGGGGATATTTATGGCACAACTTCCTAGCTTCTCTGGTTCCATAGAAATGCATTGAGGAGAAGGTACAGGCAACTTCAAGCTTCAAGCACCTGAAGGCCACTGCATAAGCCCCACTGTGTATATCAATGTTGTATACATTAGTATGGGCTTCCCTGGTGGCTCAGATGGTAAAGAATGTGCCTGAAATGTGGAAGACCTGGGTTTGATCGCTGAGTCAGGAAGAGCCCCTGGAGAAGGAACTGGCAACCCACTCCAGTATTCTTCCCTGAAGAATCCCATGGGCAGAGGAGCTTGGTGGGATATAGTCCACGGGAGTCATAAAGAGTCAGACATGACTGAGCAACTAACACACATACCTAAGTATAGATGTGTGCGTGCATGCTAAGTTGCTTCAGTCGTGTCTGATGGCAACCCTATGGACTGTAGCCTGCCAAACTCCTGTATCCATGGGATTCTCCAGGCAAGAATACTGGAGTGTGCTGCCATGTCCTCCTCCAGGGGATCTTCCCAACCCAGAGATCAGACCCACGTCTGCATTGGCAGGCAGGTTCTTCACCATGAGCGCCACCTGGGAAGCCTGCTTAGTATATAGTTAATGCTAAATGTGTGTTTTAGTATAAATTCTATTTAACATTGCCTTCCATTTCCATAAAGCAATCCATTGGGTTATTTTTTTGGTTGGACTCATTGTCTCATTGTCATTCTCAATACATGAATACCATAGATGTGTTTTCCTTTAGTTTCATGAAAAACTGCTCTTTTAAGGATGTATTTTACTCAGTTCTTAGAAACTGCATTTTAAGTTGTCTCTTGTTTTATTCAGTAACTGTGTTTTACTCCAGTTTCTCTGACAGTTCTTCATGAGCAGTATCCCCAGTGTCAATTGGTGTTATCATCATCATTCTCCATCAGCCTTCATTTCTGATTCCAGTGTTCTTCTACCACCCGAAACATGCCTTTCTGGTGGGGGGCTCCCAATCCAAGTATACCCCACAGTGCAGTGCTTAGTCGCTCAGTAGTGTCTCAGTCTTTGCAACCCCTTGGACTGTAGCCCACCAGGCTCTTCTGTCCATGGCAGGAATGCTGAAGTTGGTTGCCATGCCCTCCTCCAGGGGATCATCTCAACCCAGGGATCGAACCCAGGTCTCCCAAATTGCAGGCAGATTCTTTGCAATCTGAGCCACCAGGGAAACTCAAGAATACTGGAATGGGTAGCCTATCCCCTCCCCAGGAATTGAACAAGGGTCTCCTGCATTGCGGGCAGATTCTTTACCAGCTAAGCTGCCAGGGAAGCCCACAAGCTAAACTTATCACAGTGCTCCATCATTCTAACCACAGTGGCTGCTCTAGTCATACAGTCATAAGCTGGACCAATCATAATTCTGTCTTGAGACTTTTACCAGGTGGAAGGAAGGCTTTTAGTCTTTTGTAAAAATGTTGTTAAAGTTTTATAGCTGAAAGTGTTAGAATCCAGAGTAACCAGCAACTATGCTCCATGACCTTGAGGATAAGACCCATATGCAGCAGGAGAATGAGGCCAAGACATTCTTATAAGCAGAGTAAATTTATGGTGACATTCTTGTTGCAGTTCCAAATCCCTCATTTCAGTTATTATTACTAAAGCTAGTTATACCCTAGTCTTAGTAATAATAAAGTGAGTGTCTTCTCCCCTGATGGCTCAGTTGGGAAAGAAACTGTCTGCAATGCAGGAGACCCGGGTTCAATCCCTGGGTTGAGAAGATCCCCTGGAGAAGGAAATGGCTACCCACTCCAGTAATCTTGCCTGGGAAATCC